CGGGCTCTCTGGGGTGGGTGCCGGTGGCTTCAGCGCTGCAGGATCCACCCCCAGGGGGTCCCCGGCTCTTGCCTCCGCGGGTGGCCGCCCTTCTCCCGTTGGGGATCGAGCCCCTCTCTGAGGAGAGGAGATGTGAGGCTAATGGGGGCCACACCCAGCAAGCCGTTTTCCTGGGGGGGGCAGGAATGGGGGCCTCCCTTCCCACCAGACCCTCCAGTGGAGGACGGCTCTGCCCGGGCCCAGAGCAGCAGCCAGACGGAAGGCCGCTGGGAGGAGGACCAAGGCCTGGCCCCTCTCTGGGCAGTGGCACACCTGTTCCCCAGGGGTCCCACTTCACACGGGCGCCTTCACAGAAGGGGCACCCGGTGTCTTTCCAAAACCCACGGTAGCACCTGTCGACAGGTGATTGACAAGAGGGCGTCAGTGCCTCAGGAACAGTCCCGCCTCTCTTTGCTGCTCTGCTCCAGAGGCTGGGGGGGTGGGGCTCAGAGCAGGGACAGAGGCAGGCAGGCGGCTCCCGAGCCCAGGAGCTGCGTGTTCAGCACCAGGGAGGCGTCCCTCAGGGCTTCTCCATGGCGGAAGCTCTGTGCCCCACCGGGGCAGAGGCCCTGAAGTGGAGATGTGGTGGGAGGGTCCTTTGGGGGTGCCATTAAAGGCAGCAGAGTGAGACAGTCACTTTTTTAGAGCGTTGAAGGAGGTTTTGACCAGTGCTCCCTCTCAGCTGAGTTAGTGTGAGCCAGCTCACAGTTCTTTAGCCTCCAGCTCACAGATTTCTGCCTTCACTCAGGAAGGAGGGCTCCAGAGCAAACTGATTTCTGCAGGAGCCAAATTTCTCGCTCACAACTTTAATGCCGGGAGCTCACAGAGTAGAATTTTTGCTCACAGGACTCCGCAGCTTGGAGGGAGCGTTGGTTTTGACAGAGGCCTTGCTACTTGGGGTCCTGCCCCATCTAAAAACCTGCTTGACCAGAGGGGGATAGTGTGTGCAGGCGTGCAGGCCCTGCCCCCACTCCCTGAGAGACTGCTCTCCACCCCTTCGGAGGCACCCAGAGATGACCTGTGGGGCACAGAGCTGAGGGGCATCAGTGGGCACGGTGCAGCCAGGCAGGGGGCAGTGTGAGTTCCGTCTCCCTGTTCTCATCCTCCTCCTCTTCGTTTCAGAACCATCCCTGGGAGGAGAACGTGGGCTTGGTTCGGTGACAGTTGTGGCTCCCAGATCCTCTGCGAGAAGCCCGCGCAGGAGAAGGATGCAGTTCTGGGGTTGAACAGGAGGCTGTGCGAGCAAGGGGCTCCCGCCATGCCACAAAAGCGAATCTGCAGCGGACGGCCCGGAAGTGGTGTGTGAGTGAGTGCCACGTCAGCGCAGGGCGGAGAGCCGAGCGCTTTGCCTCTCCAGCATGAATCCCCCTGAAACCTCTGCAGGACTGCCCCTGAGGTTGGCGGCAGCAGATGTGTGCTGACCACGGAGTGGGGGCAGGCTGGTCTGACGGGCTCGGAGGGCCTGTGCGTACGTACGCCCGCCCGCCCATGGTGCCGACTCACGTTGGGTGAGCGCCCCGGGGGAACTCGAGGACTGAACCGGCAGCTTGACTCTCCTCCGGCGCATCCCTCCCCCAAAATGCCTCTGGAGTGGCTGATGGGGTGGAGCGGGTCCCTCGACAGGCTGAGGGACGTCATCGGCACGGGGATCCAGGGTGTCCGGGACTGCAACACCACCGCACTGGGCACCGTGGCCTTCCTCCTCGCCATGTTTGTGTGGTACTGCTACCACGTTGGGCGTGAGCAGCCCCGGGCGTACGTCACGGTGAACTCTCTCATGCAGGGCGTCGACGTCGGCAGCCTGCAGAACGGCTACGCCCACTGCCACTCGCCAGAGTGCGTGCGCTGCGCCCACAGCGACGGCCTGAACCAGAAACTGTACCACAACCTGCAGGAGTACGCCAAGCGCTACTCCTGGTCGGGCATGGGCCGGATCCACAAGGGCATCCGCGAACAGGGCCGCTACCTGACCAGCCGGCCCTCCATCCAGAAGCCGGAAGTCTTTTTCTTGCCCGACCTGCCCAGCTCCCCCTACTTCTCCCGGGAGGCTCAGAAGCACGACGTGGAGCTGCTGGAGAGGAACTTCCCGACCATCCTGTGCGAGTTTGAGGCCCTCTACAAGGCCTTCTCCAACTGCAGCTTGCCCCAGGGCTGGAAGGTCAACAGCACGCCCAGCGGGGAGTGGCTGACCTTCTTCCTGGTCAACCAGGGCACCTGCGTGCCCCGGAACTGTCGGAAGTGCCCCCGGACGTACCGCTTGCTGGGCAGCCTCCGCACCTGCGTGGGCAACAACGTCTTTGGGAACGCCTGCATCTCTGTGCTGACCCCCGGCACGGTCATCGCCGAACACTACGGCCCCACCAACATCCGCATCCGCTGCCACTTGGGTACGTGTGCCGGCCTGGCTGACA